TTTTAAAGATATATTTTTGATTCTTCGAGAGGTATCTCTTAATTATGACAGTCCTGCTCACTAATAAATTTTTACAAGTTCTGCTAAATATTTTTGGTGCTTTATCAATCATGATATTTAGTATTCTGTGAGCATATAACACTGTTATGAAGAATAAAGTGAATAATTAAGGTAAAAATGGAGGAGAGGTGGTAAGGATCTGCGGCGAAAATACCAATGAGAACTGGCGAACTTTTTATTTATATATGTTTGCGAGTCTTAACTTTTAGATTTTATTAGCTTTATTAGGTCATATCTTTCCTTTTTGTGCTTGATATTCCTTGTTTTTGGTTTTAGATACTCGCGTTTGATGCCTGCAATCCTTCATTAGGACCGTTATTTTATCTTCCGGTTACTATTATAATTCCACTAGTTCTTGACAGTGCTTGCAATTTTACTCTCTCTCGATCTCTGACGTTGAGTCCATCAAAACCAGAACGTATATTTATACATGTCCCAGAGGATGCTAATTGGGCTGGTTTGTTCAATAAAGTGTACTTTAAAAGATTTGGTGGATGTTCACATTTTACTGAATTTTTAGAGTTAACGATTAAAATAATTCTAATTTAAATTATTTTTTTCTGGTGGGAGACCGTAAATTACTACAAATCAGCTTTTAAAAGTGCTCTGGGAACTGGGAATGCTTTCTTTAATAATACAATTTTTTTAACTGTTTTAAGGATTGAAAGCTTCATTTGTTCTGCAAAGTGGTTAGGAGACTTTTTTTAGTATTTCCTTTGTTTTCATTGTGAACTTTCACCGAGTTCACAGTAGGATGGCAAAAGTCTAAGGTTGGTAAAGAAGCTGCTTATGTTGTGTTCTGGGGTGAAAAACTAAGAACAAACAACACTTTTTGTTAGTTTTTATGTCATCAGCAGTGTGGCTAAAAATGCCAACTTTTTCGTTTTAGAGCTCAAATTAATGAGCCGGGATACTCAAGAAGCCAAATACGTCATTCACTGTGTGCAAATTCAGCCAGATACTGCAGTTCGTAATACAGAAACTTACAAAGTCTGTCCTGCCATGTTACGATACAAAACTTAAATTTTATTTCCTATAAAATTAGTTTTACTCTTTCTTTTAAAGACTGTTTTATGTGCTGTATCTTTCCAGTTAATGGTTTTGAAACCAAACTCTGATACTGAACTAGTTCTTAAATTGATAAGTGGAAGAACAGTCGAGCTTTGCATAACGAGGTGGTGGTCTTCTATAAATATTGGCCATGTTGATATTGCTTTGAAACTGCACGGCACTTATCCATGCTGCAAAACCATCCAAATAGTTCGTTTTTTCTCATATTTTACTGTATCGTCAAGAAAAATTTGTTTGCTCCTAGTAACTGTTTTGACTTTTTAATGTGAGGGCGCTGAATGAGGTCTAATACTGATATACTTTTTCGAGTTTTTGTTATTTAGTTCTACTTTATTGAATTCCAGATGTCTGCGGAAGTTTCTCATCGTTTCCAAGTGCGCAATTCCTTAATGCATTACGAAGAGATAGCACCAGCAATAACATTTAGGCATATGTACTATCCTCTTCATCCTGAAACAGCTAAAATCCGGCCTTTGGGACCTCGCGACCTTTTTTTCAGTGGATCACAAACCTTCCAACTTTTGCTTGCGTATTCCTTCTCTAGTAAGCTTTCTGTTTAATCATTTTTACTTAACTCATTTTCTTTATTTCTTTTTGAGGGACTGCAATTGTACCTTTAGGAAGAATTTCATTGGCTTGGTTATTACCGTAAATTTGTCTCTTTTGTTGCTTTTTAGCTACTTTTTTGTCTGCAGCTTGGTTTATGAAACGAGACTTATTATATTGTCATGTAACATCATTAATTAGTCATTATTTTGCCATTTGCGGCCGGAAACTTTTTGCATTTTTTTGCCAAAGAAATTTTACTTTTGTATGAAAATTTCATTACTTTTCTTAGTTTATGCTGGTTTTTAGTACCAAAGGCGACGGAAACGACGTTTGAGTTTCCTGGACTAACCGATTATTTATACGAAAGCCCCTTTGATGATGTTCATATTATGATATTTTTATCCTCCAAACAGTATATTGGTAGCAGTTCGTCGTACCCGAAACGTGTTTGTGCTCCCTTTTAAATTGAATGAATAGTTGTTGAGAAAAGTTTATAGTCAGGGTGGACAACAGCGTTGTTATGGTCATCCTTTCAACGACAGCTTCCTCACATTTTTGGTTTCACAGTAAAATTAATTTTTGTGAGGAGCGTTCTAAAATGCTAAATATGTTCGCTCTGGCAGAAAAAATAGGCTTTTGTTTTCTGATTTCTTTATTAAGGCTGAAATCTCTTTTATTTCTTGATTTATCACCTTCAAAATTGTCTTATTTCTTGTCAAAAAATCATTTTATTTTTAAGTACACAATAAAGCTTGAAAAAGGGGATTATCATGCTAAAGTGCAAATTCGTCATGACAATGACAGCTTTTTGGAGAAGTTTCAAAATCTGGTTCTTGCTCTGAGAACTCGTCTACCAACACCGATTAATTTTGAATGCTATGCTGATTTGGAGAGTATGTTGTTTTACACTTTTGCTTCTCTTCTCAATTGCTCATCATCTTTCCGAGAAATTGATTGCTTTTTTTTGGTCACTAATTGTATTTCACATGGTTTTTTCGCAGTCGTAAAAGTATTTATTGAAGGATCATCTTATTCAGCTCCATTTTTTTACCCTTAGCCTCACTGATTTTACTGCAAGCATCTTGTGATGTAAAATAAAGTTACTGTCTAGGTGCATTAAAAAGTGACAAAAAACGACTTCTAAGTAAATGTATGGGTCCTGACGAAGTAGTCACCGTTTTCTTGGGTCAGTTGTCTGAAGAAAAGTAAGGTTATAGCATTTTTTTTGTTAGCGTGATAAGTTCTTCTGAATTTTCTGTGTGATGAATTTTGCATTGAAGTTTCTCATTTTAGAGTTTTTGTTACGCATTCAGTTTTTGATTGCCAAAGTAACCAGCAAATTGTAATAAAAATATTGGTTTAGACTTCCTAGAAAGCTGACTGCCGGATGTTGTTTGTTAGGAGCCTTAACAATACCAAAAGCTGAGGCAGCTCGGACAATAGTGCAATATCCTGTCATTTATCACTTTAATGAATTTGGTCGTCGTCATTCTAAGGGTTTCGCTGCTGTTACTTTGACTAAAAAGTGCGAGAACACAGAATCGTGTGAGGTGAAGAAGATGAATGGTAACTGTACTCATCATTTAATGGCTTTAGTTACATTCGTTTTACTCTCTTACTTGCTTCGGCTGCAGCATGGCGTTTTGCTGAGTATAATCGAATGAGCTCATATAAAATACGTTTTTTGCACATTTATTTTACAGAATAGTAAGGACATGTTTGGCATCATTTTAAAGTATTCAGATCATTCAAGGTCGAATAATCTTAAAATTTAGAATATATGTTGAGCAGGATTTGAGTTCAGTAGTACCAGTTTTTTGCATGATACCTAGTTAAGAGACGAACGGAGGACAGTTTTTTGGGACGTGCAATGACTCACATTTTCACGGCCTGGAATTGCTGCCTGAAGCAGTACTAAAGATCTTGAAATCCTTTGAATTATTGATGCCATTCAAATGAAATCAAGTTTTTCAGATGAATTACGCGATCTTCAAATTCAATGGCTATCTAAAATCAAATGCGAAGATGAGGCCAACAGGCTGTTCAGGGAGCTGAATACGGCTTTTCCAGATAACCCTACAGTTTTACTGACGCAAGCAAAACGACTTTATGAAAAAGTTTGTGACCTTCTTTTTGAGTATGTAATACATGTAATATAAATTATGTATATTGTATATATTGTGTATATATATTATATGTATAATACATATTATATATATTAAGTATACATAATGTGCGTTATATATACATATATATATATATATATATATATATATAT